TAATTTCAAAACCCTGGAATAATTGTGCCATGTTGGGATATCTTCGTCCTCCTCGAAATAATTTATTTTGCTGTAAAAATGTATTAATTCAATGTATCTGGAGTAAACTTTATTCAAGCTAATGCTATGTTTCCATTGGCTTCAAATCTAGCAGATTTGCGTAAACCTCTTCGAGGTGTTTCCACTGAGCTTACTCGTTTTTGAGCTTCGAATTTTCGAACAAATCCTGTCATATAACGAAAATAAACATTTTTTTAAATTTAAATATTAAACATTAAAAAATAAACATTAAAAATACAAGCTTACGTTTTTAATTGTATAAATTTATTTATTAAATGCCAACAACTTTAGAATTATTATTTGTTCTTTTTTTATTTTCAATAATATATCACTTCGATGAAAACATTCAATTTGAATGGATAGCCTATAGTCGTATTTGCTTATCCTAGACACAACGTAGTGTTGCATCTTGTTCGAAAAAATACATTTTCGATAAAAAAACTTCAAACTATACGGCCAGACATAACATTTATGACAATAGTGGCTGGGGTTTGATGTTGCTGGCCGTATGGATGAGGTGGTTGCTGCTGATACGGCTGAAGCTGTTGTTGAGGGTAGTGCTGCTGTGCTGGTTGCACATAATGCTGGGGTTGTTGTTGTTGTTGTTGATACTGCTGCTGTTGTGGTTGCACATAATGCTGGGGTTGTTGTAGGGGTAGTGAGCAGCAATGATGTTGTTGTGGCTGTGTGGCGACCTTTTTTTGGTGTTCCCCGCTTCTTATTTTTATTTCTCCTTCTTTTGGAGGAGTTTTGATCCTTGGGACTGCCGCTGGTGTGGGTTTGTTGTTGGGCTGCGGGTTTGTGCCCCTTTTTTACCTTATGACGGTGGAGGAGGGTATGGTGCTCTGACATGCACTCGATGCACCGCTCTCTGCTGGTGCATTTGTCTTTCATGTGGGAGTGAGCCAGGCAGTTGAAACAATAGCGATACTTCTTCACCGTTTCCCATCGCTCCCCCACCAACATCTTGCGGAATTTGGGGCATTTACGCAGGGCATGCTCGCTTTTGCATAAGCGACAGTCCCGAAGGATCTCGTCACGGGTGGTTTTTGCATCCTTAGACGTACCGGGGGCCTCGACGGGTTTGCGGTGGATTTCTAATCGTCGGTTCACACTTGACATCTTGCTATGGTAAAATAAAGAGAGAGAGAGAAGAAAAAAGAAACAAAGAATACAAATTAGTCAATTGGGGACCCAAAACTCATTTCTTACTAATCTGAGCATTAATGAATGGCCACCATGGGCAGAGCATTTGTGAACATGTTCAACAAACAAACGGGTAAATCGGGCTGCATAAGGCAGAATTTTAGGGTAACGCTCATCGTACGTTAAGCCAGGGGATCGAGTTAATCGACCATTGATTCGGACAAAACCATTTGAATCAATAAACGGGTTCAAACTGAGTAAATTACTCTTAGACGAAATGGGTTTACCTTTCGAGAGTAGAGAATATTCGGGTATATAATTCTTTTGACATACTAGAACCAATCGATCTCGAGTAAATTTCATTTCTGACTGGGTTAAATCTAAGGTGTTGTACAAGCATTTTCTGGTTTTTAAATATTGTAAACACCTGAACCAATACGAAATAATTCGCATTGCACGGGGTAAATCTGAGAAACGTTCCAGTATGTCAAATGTTGGTACTGTCTGAACAGAAAAAGATTGAACTTCTAAATGCTGATGTTCGGTAACGATATTTTGTGGCCAGTACTCTCGCGGCTGCCTTAACCACGAGGGACCATGCCACCATAGTGGCTTATCAACTAAATCTCGAGCAAGAGTTCCACAACTTGCGAGATCTGCAGGGTTATCTTTGGAATCTACATGAAACCAATTCTCGTTACCAACTTTCTTTGCGATTAGGGCAACTCTGATTTTGACAAAGGTTGGCCAATGGCACGGGGGTTTTTTGAGCCAAGATAAAACTATAGTAGAATCAGTCCACAGATAAATCTTTCTCTTGTCTAGATTTAATTGACTACACAAGGTTTCTACCATATTTGCCATCAAAGCCGCTCCACAAAGTTCTAAACGGGGTAATGTTTCAGGCTTAACAGGAGCTACCTTCGTCTTTGCAGAGAGTAAATGTGAAGTGATTTCATTCGAAGAAATACTTCGAACGTAAAGAGCAGCGCCATAAGCCTTTTCTGACGCATCAGAAAATGCATGAAGTTCAATATCATAACTCGGGTGAAAATTAACCCATCTTGGAATGTTAATTTTCTCAATATTGGGGTAATCATTTAAAAATTAGTGCCATTGCACAAGGGTTAAGGGTTTTAAACATTCATCCCAATCTGTCTTGTCTTTCCATATTTGTTGCATTATAATTTTAGCAACAATGATTTTTGGGGATAGCCAACCGGCGGGGTCAAATAGCTTAGCTATTTCTGACAAGACAGCACGTTTAGTCACAATATCCCAGCGTGGCTGCGATATGAGTCGGAAGTAGAAACTGTCAGTTTCTGCATTCCATCGCAAGCCTAGGGTTTTTGTTGTACTAGCATCTGAAAATTTTAAGAAATCTGCATCAAGCAGATTCTCACGGGGTAAATCTTCTAAGAGACGTATGTGATTGGCAGTCTATTTTCTCAAAACGAAACCAGCAGATTCAAGAACATGGGTAAGTTCAATACGTCTCCTAAAAGCGTCTTCTAGCTCATGAGAGCCAGCAAGTACGTCGACGACATACATTTGGGTTTTCAAAATTTCAGATGCTAACGGACTTAGGGTTTCACAATCGTTGGCCAATTGTAAAAGAGTTCGAATCGCTAAATACGGCGCACAATTCACTCCGAATGTGACAGTATTTAGCTCATAGTCCTTTATATCAGCTTCGGGATTACAGCGGTACAAGACCCGTTGAAATTGTGTCTGTTCGGGATGAATTAAAATTTGGCGATACATTTTCTCAATGTCAGCGTTAAAAACGTAACGAAAGAGTCGTCATTGTAGGATTAAGACCGTTAGGTCTGCCTGTAAAACAGGACCGGGGTACAAAACATTATTAAGGCTTACGCCATTGGAGGATGGGTTCGAGGCATTAAATACCACACGAAGTTTAGTGGTCACGCTATCGGGTTTAAATACTGCATGATGCGGTAAATAATAATTAGTCGCATCTGAACTCGGGGGGTTAACTGCTCGGATATGTCCCATTTCGAAATACTCTCTAATTACAGTATCATACTGTGATTTTAAATCGGGGTTTTTCAAAAGTCGAGTTTCATTTCGCCTAAACTGGAACAGAGCACTATGTCGAGAATCTCCTAATGTCACTTCATTAAGAAATTCCCGACGAAACGGGAGTGAAACTACATAGCGACCATCGGGGTTCCTATAGGTAGTAGACCGGTAAAGTTCTTCACAATATTCCTCAGTTTCCGACAACCGTGTCGCTTGTGGAACTTCTTCAAAAGAGAGAAAAAGGGTAAAAAGCGCAAAAGAATTAAAAACATAGAATGGCCAGTGAACAGTAACTGGCCATATACATTGTGCGCATAAACAATATTTTTTTAGTGAAATCAAAAATAATTCTTGTATATTACTAAATAATCATGTTACGAAAAAAATTCGTTACTTTCGTTAAATATTACATGATATTACGACAGGTTTTCGTACTTTCGTAAAATTAGAAAAGGGGTAGATTAAACAAAATTTCGTATTATACACGAAATTTTCGTATATATTACGAAAAAAGTAGTTACGAAATTTTTTTTCGTAAAGTTAAGCATGGATTATTTTCAGTGTATATATGAGACTCTTTTATCACTCTTTCACTACATAATTACTAAACCGATTTACATAAAACTCGGCATATTAATAGGTCTAACCTCAGAAGTTAAAAATGGCTCTATATGATATTGATTGCATGCTACGCACATTTTTATGTTCACTTTTAGAATAACAGCTATAACACCTAATTTCTAGGCTAAATATATAAAAAAAACATGAACATGATCTGGATTTGAACTTCAACTTACAAAACAGCTTATTAGCAGCCAAAAAATAAAGGATTTGTTTTTGGGACATCACGAACAAAAATAAGTATTTCTTGCAGTAGAAAAAGAAGTAGTCTTTCCTTCGAATTCTTCTTAATATTCTTTACTTTGGGAGTTAAACTTTTGCTGGGATATTACATTCCAAAGATACTTTCATATGTTTTTTACAGCATCTATTTTATTGTTTTAAAATTTAAAATTTAAATATAAAAAGATCGCATTTCTTAGTATGAATAAAACTTCATTCTCAATTAATTTAATTTTCGAATGTAGACTCATTCCACTTTCAAAATAAAGGGTCGTTTACGATCGAAATTGATGCTCGAAGAGTTGGAATCAGTCATTAGTTTACATGGAAAAGTATGCGATTTTAAATGTTACCTGTGTGAAATTTCGCAACGGTAATGTAATATTTATTTTTATTTACTTAAAAAGTCAGCAGTTAAGAAATATCAGTTGCATAATTCAGGAATTATGAAATTTTAGAACATGAATATTTCTAACATAAGAAAGGGTAATTATAGATTTTTATATCGTTAGCTTAGTACGCAATCGTAACAAGTCCTTTTCAGAAAACTTTAGAGGAGAAGCTACAAAACGTAATAACTTTGCTTGTTTATCATATAATGTTCTTTGATTTGTCTTTTTTTCAATACGAGTTATGAAACAATTTTTAAATAGTGCCATTGGAGACTTACGAAGTCTGAGTCTAATGTAAAATTTATCGAATAGGACTTGGCACGTTTGCGTACTAAGCTAACGATATATAAAATATGAAATTTATGTAATCCTGAAAAATCCCGCGATCCCGTATTGCAGTTTTTAAAATTCCGAATCCCGGGATTTGTAAAAGCCAGTCCCGTTTGGCATCATCCCTAATTTTGTTAGTATAATGCAACAATATTCTAAACCATTTTGCAAATGCTATTTTTTCAGATAAGCTATCAATCGCTGTGTCCTACTAAGCGAAAATCTGTTTTGCTTGAAACCATTGAATATGAATATAGACCAAATCACTATATCGAAGTTTCATGTGCCCATAGCTATGTACCTTCTCATGCGAATATCGATGATAAAAACAAGGTAAGTAAAGTTTCGATTCACGAACGACTTTTGTTGCTCAACTTTTAAGTTTATAGAATAAAAACAAAATCAGTTCATAGTTGCTGAAATAAAAATTTCTCTGTAAGAACAAAACTAACATTAAAAAAGAATTAAGAACATTTTGAGCTACAAAAGTGTAATTGTCAGAACCGGGACTGACTTATTTGAAAAATAATGTTTATTTTTTAATTCTTAGATTTGTTCAGAAGCTGGATTTTCTTGTATGCAACTCAATCGTACAATACATTTAATTAGACGAAATAAATCCAAATCGAGTCAGTGTTGGGAGTCAGAGATTCGAGTTATACCATCTGGATGTGAATGTATGTGGCCAAAACATTACTATGGCGATATACTTGCTTTTCATGAGTCACATAAACGTTACAATGCAGGACTAATGAATGGGTATATTCCTTATATTTCAAATAATAATTCGTAACTTTAAAAACTTTCTGTACTTGTGTTTGGGAATTTTTGTTTAAGAGAAATAAATAAATTATTTTTTAGTAAACTTTATTTGTTGCAACAATTGCCAAAAAAGTTTAACTTTTGAAACTTTGGTCGATCAAGTTTGTATGATTTTGTATGCATTTTATTACCTACTGAAGAAGAAATGGAAATCAAGTAAACAACATCTACAGATACATACATACATACATACATACATACATACATACATACATACATACATACATACATACATACATACATACATACATACATACATACATACATACATACATACATACATACATACATACATACATACATAACTACATACATACATACATACATGCATACATACATACCTGCATGCATACATACATACTTGCGAAAAAGTGCTATATTGGTTTGAAAAAAATGCTAGAAAGTGCTAAAAATAAGAAAAAACAATTAAGAAAGTATAGTCGGGCTTGGCTGACTTGTGCCAAAAAACATGCTTGGTCCAAATATAATCAAATTATCTTGAAAATTGCGGCCTGTACCTTGCACACAGGGTTTACATGGACAGCCAGCCGGACAGACGGACGGACGGACATGTCTTAATCGACTCAAAATGTGATTCTGAATCGATCGGTATACTTAAAGGTGTAGGACCAATATTTTTGTGTGTTACAAACATCAGCACAAACGTATAATACCCTCCCCACTATAGTGGTGTAGGGTATAAAAAGCCAGTAATGAGTGTTAAAGTAATTTTCTGAAAAGGACCTTTAATGGGAGGTAGGGTCAATTATGGACCGATCCTCATAAAATTTGGTAGGGATATTTTGGATTATATAAAACTTATGTGTGTTGAATTTCATAGCTATACTCGTGTTTTGAGCGTTAAAGTCATTTTCTGAAGGAAACTATATAGGGGGGGTAGGGTCAATTATGGACCGATTAACATACAATTTGGTAGAGAGGTTTTGGATCATAAGCGACTTACTTATGTCAAATTTCATAGTTACACTAGTATTTTTAAGCCAGTAATGAGCATTAAAGTCATTTTTCAAGGAGAGCGATCCTCATAAAATTTGGTAGGGAGATTTTGGATCACATGAAACTTATTTATGTCGAATTTCATCGCTATACTCGTATTTTTAAAATAGATATGTCCGTTAAAGCTGTTTTTCGGAGAGTCCACTTACCTATAGAGAATATTTGTTTTTTCAATCCTCTACCTCGCTCCGTTCGGACTCTATCGTCTACCGTCAGACGGACGGACGGACAGGCATGGCTAGATCGTCCTAGAATTTAATAAGGACTCGGAATATATATACTTTTGTGGGTCTATGACCAATATTTCGATGTGTTACAAACGGAATGACAAAATCAATATACCCCCCCATCTTTTTTGATGGTGGGTATAAAAACAACTATATCAAACCAGTAGAAAAATATCTCGAATTTATTGTAAGAAATTTTAATTATAATTGACGGTTTCCAAAAATTGATCTCAATCTCAACAATTTGAATCATAAATCGGTGGAAAAAGATCTAGTTCTAAAGAAGGTGTATATAATCTCTAAAGCTTCTCTAGAACTATATCTGAAGATAGCAAAGATTTTAGTTTAGCTTTGTGTCATTTTATATAGGAAGTGGCCCTTTTAAAATGTAACTTAAGCTCATCAAATACGAACCGATATTTCTACAGATAACCAGTAAACATTAATTTTTATGTTGTACATAATTATGTAATTAATAATTAATTTTTAACCATATTTTTACAGAAGAACAATTAAAATTGGCATACAAAAATATGTACAAATATGTGCTAAAAAAGTGCCAAAAAACATTTGAAAAATACTAAAAAAGGTGCTAGGTGCTAGATTACATTTTTGGGTGCTAAATGAGTTTAAAAATTGCTAAATCTAGCACTAAAAATACTAAATTGGCAACACTGGTTGTACCCTATTTGAATGTTTTTTGTCATTCATTACGAATGTACTCTTCGTAATCGAGAGCGAAGACAGTCGCCACTTTAAGGTGGTATTAGACGACATGTTTTTCACATATGTACTGTCACTTTTTTTTATCCATATGTAATTCCGAATGTATGTCAAAATTGTTATTTTACATATGATTCATAATTTTTGCTATCACACCTGCCTGTGTTTTTCCGTATGACATAACCTATAATGTAATCAAAGCTGTCTTTTTAATGTGTACAAATTGTTAAAATTATAAATTAGTTTATTAAAAAATAAAAAATACTTACTTTTTCGTGTTCTTTATCATTTTATTTAATTTACTTTTTTCAAAAAATTTTATTTCAAAGCAAAGCAGCTGTTTCGTTTATGTTTGTCATACGAGCACGCTCTAGTCGAATAAATTACATATGTATTTCCACATGTATTTTAAATATGCAATGTTTCATATGTATCAGACGATATGTACAACTTTTACAGATGGAAATTTTGACTGTACATATGTAAAATACATGTCGTCTAATACCACTTTTACTGTACACCAAGTAAGCAAGAGAGTGGCAGTCGTCACTTAACTGTCATCCGAGTAAACGAGAGAGGGGACAGTTGAAAAAACTTAAGAATTGAAGGTGAAAAGAAAAAGAATAAACATGATCAGTTTTGTCTGAGTGCAAAGTTATACTATTTTATCACTTTTTAAGTTATTTTATTTTTATGTTAGTTGACTTTAATAAGTTGCTTAAGACAGTTCTCGCGATAAATTTTGTTGTGTGAATTTTAAAATAAGAAAATGTTTTTTAATTTAATTAAAAAATAGTCAAATTTAAGATGAGTTAAAACAAAAAAACTTTGGCAGAGATTACGGAAAAAATAAACTTTCTAGTAATGCGACTAACAAGAACCCATTTGGAGATTACCATCCGTTGACTACTTTTGATTACCTCTTGACAGTCTCATATTAGACTGTAGAGTGACGATTGACTTCCTCGTACGACAAGCCCATGTTAAAATGGTTGGTCACCTGGGTAGTCGGGTGGCTAGGGGCCACCATAAGTGGTATGTCAAGTGGTTAGTTCGGGACTGTCCCGCCGAACTGCTGGGTGCATCAAATTGAAGCCGATAGAATTTATAATAATTTATATGCAATAAAAAATATGTAAGTAGTACTAAATTTGTGATAATGAAGCCAATGTACCTAAATCGTGACTATATACCCTTAGAACGAGGATTGTGAAAAACCCCATTTTCCTTTCTATATTATCAATTTTTGGAATGAAAACAATTATGTATTTAAAAAATCAGGTATACATTTTTTTTATTCTTATTTAAATTTATTCAAGTGACTGACCTAATGTGGATTTTGCTGCTCGTCCTTTGTAAGCAACACCGTCCGACACTCAAAATTAGACACGAACCGAATAATATATGTCTGAAACTATAAATTAAATGGAGTAAAACTGCGTTCTTAGTTTTTCATTTCGTGATTCTGTGTCCTTTTAAAAGGACTTCAAAGTTTTAAAAAGTACATTTTTCAAAAAATATTTTAAAATACTTCTACTGATCAAACAATGTAAAATTTTATGACAAACGAACAACAAGAGTTGCTAAATATTTTGTATTATTTTTATTTTATACTGTCGGGATAAAAATATGTAAAAAAAGTCTTTAAAAAATTTTGTAAAAAAATAATATTAAAAATATTAAATTTTGATATTTTTTTACCTGACAGTTTAAAATTTCGGCAGTTGTTTTTTAATTTGGGTCGCATATTTCTGGAGCACTTCTCGTTTTCTTCTGCTTAATTTGTTAAGATTTTTGTCGCCATTTGGCTCTTTACGGTGTTTTGCAATGTTGAGTCAAACAATGCCAGGGTAACAAGTTTAGGACTATGCACATTGGTTTAAAATCAATTTGTCTTATTTTTTTATGAAAATAGTAATTTTATGGTGAATTTTACTTTATTATTAATAAACAATGTTATATATTATCAATTCGATGACTCGGGGGAGTTTTCCTGTTTTTCCTATCGAGCGCGTCCCCGGGTGGCGATGACCGATCTGTCCCCCCCAAGTTTTAGTTTGAATCAAGATGAGGGAGGGCAGATTGTCCACCACCTGGGAATATTATATTCCCCGCGGACCAAAAACTGGAAAAAAACAACATGGAAAATAAAACTAAAAGATGAAAGTTACGGTGCAGGGCCTAAATAATCCAGTACTGACGGCAAGTGTTGATCCACTCGCGAGTCACGTGTCGTCGTCATCCAGCAATCGTGAGCAAAATACTACTACGGAGGTGGGTACCTTGGCCTCCGTGGCGGACAATGCGTCAAGTGTACAGCATGCCATTAGCAAAAACATAGGGGTGAAAGAGAAGGATTTACTCGGAGAGAGCTCTAAGCTACCTCAGCCTTTAAATATAGGTGAGGGTTCCGACTCTGAATCCTCAAAAGATAATAACAACACCATTATAGAAAATCCCAAAAAGGATGATACTAAGAAAAGACTATCTGGAGCACAGAGGAGGAAGCTGAAAAAGATGCTTCAGGAAATCATAGTTAGTCAATCCAACGACACTCCAAAGGAAAAATCGGACTCTCTCACAAGATCTGAGGAAAAGAGGATCAGGTCTCCCGAAGAGTTGACAACTGAGAATAAACCTAAGAAGAAAAAGAGCTCCCCGTCTTCTAATCCACAGTCGTAGCCAAGCCATACTTCACTCAAAGGAACCTCAAGTCAGAATCCTGAGAGTAAGGGTGACAACGCCAAGATAGATATCCCGAACATGACCACGTCGCACAGTGTAGTGATGGCGGCCAAAAATAAAAAAAAAAGAATTTGATATCTAAAAAAACTAATAATGCAATTTCATAGGCAACAGTTTAGCTAAAAAGAAATTTAAATAATTTTTTAAAAATCTTTATTTTCTAAAGAATTATTAAGATTCAAAGTTGAAAGTTTATGGTAAGTAAGTTATTATTTAAAAAATGTTAATAAAAGTTGCAAACTTTTGTGGGTTAATTTAAAAGAATAGGTCGATAAAGCAGTAAATGTTTGCTTACGATATGTGAGTATTATTATTAAAATATGGTTACACTATTTTTTAATACTATTCTTTATCCATATT